TCTTCCATAAATGCGATTTAAGCTATCTATTTTGATAAATATATATAAATACATGTAAAAACAATAAAAACGCTTGAAAATTGATTTATTTGCCATTTTTCATCTCAGACTTCTATTTTTATAATATATAATCGTTTTTTAGTATGAAATTTCATCAGAAAATATTTATATTTAATTACTATACTAATTACAATTACATACCTAATTTAATAAACAACATGAAGTAATGCATTTTAGATATCTACTATCTACTAAATTAATAGCTCAAAAGGTACAGCTATTATATTATTCTCAACCTTTATAACTTGGTCACCCCTATATATTAACACTCCTAAAAAATCATTTTTGACTTCTTCTTGAATAAATTTTAAGTTTTTACAATCTTTTGAAGTAACAGAAGAACTCAATTTACATTCTATACCTAATACTCTTTCACCTTGTGTTATGAGAAAATCTACCTCTATACCTTGATGATTTCTATAGAAAAAAATATTAGCAAGAGAATTATAAATTAGTGATTTGCGTAGCTCTGCAAATATTAATGTTTCAAATAAAGCTCCGTAATTAGGGTAGTTATTTATCAATTTACAATCATTTATTCCCAAAAAATATGCTGCTAATCCAACATCATTAATAAATATCTTTGGTGTTTTTACATAACGTTTGCCTAAATTTGATGACCATGGTTTTAATAAACTAAGTTGAAATGAGATTTCTAATAGTTCTATATATCTTGCTACTGTTCTCTGGTCTAATCCAATAGCAATGCTTAAGTTTTTGTTATTTAATAGATTTCCTGTTCGCAATCCTATTATTCTTAATAGCTTTGCAAATGATACAATATCTATGACTTTGCTCAAGTCTCTAATATCTTTTTCTATGTATGACGTAATATATGATGAAATCCATCTATTTCTATATTCATTATTTCTTTTTATAGCAACTTCTGGGAAAAAACCATAAAACAACATTTCATTCAAAGTTTTATTTCCTATCTTTGATTTTAAATTCATTTTTTGAGTCCATTGATGAATTAATAAATTAACATCTTTGGTATGAATTAAATTACTGACAAAAGAAGATTTACTTTGTTTTACTAGTTCACTAACACTAAATCCTTCTAAAGAAATAATATCCATTCTACCAGCTAAACTATCTCTAACATCAGGGTAAGATAACACATTAGCTGATCCTGTAAGTAAAAATTTGCCTGTTTGTTTTTTAGTGTCTATATTTTTTTTAATCGCTAGAATTAAATTTGGCACTCTTTGTATCTCATCTATTACAATACTGGAGTTAAATTGGTCTATAAACCCTTGTGGGTCTTTAGTAGCTGCTTCAAGTACAGTAATATCATCTAGTGAAATATATTGTTCTATTTTTTTTTCTTTAACAAGTTGTTTTGCTAGCGTAGATTTACCTACTTGTCTTGCACCATTTAATAAAACTGCTGGAAAAAGCTTTAAAGAATTCTCTATTGTTGATTTAATATGTCTATTAAACATGCTGTAAATTATTACATTGATATGTAATATATTATAGCTAATATATTACAAGGAACAAGTAATAAGTTTTTTGTAAAAAAGTAATCATTGAAAATATAAGGCAGACTGCAAATGATTTAATGGAAAATTCTGAAAATATTTAATAGCTGTATAGAGGAGATTAAGCAATATATAAACTCATGCTATTTAAAAGTTATTATTTATATTTACTAAATTACTTTATCTATCTCTTTAATAGTTTCTACTGCATTCAAAACCTTAGATGCATGCCCAT